GGCAGCATTTACATTCCATTCAAAGTTCAAAGTTGTGTTGTGATTACGTTGATACAGTGTAACAATGTCGGCGCCGGTGATCTCTTACCGGTGTGCAACGTAGCCAAAACAAAATGCATGACCATTTGAACACTGTTATTACAAGATTGGTAGGAGGTAATAAATTTGGGGCGAACGTATTAAAAAGACAGTTTTTGGCTGTTGCCATGGTAGCAGTGGCCATGAACTACCTGCCTACCAAGTATGAACAAAATTAGCTAAGCCATAAAAAATATCAGAGGAGTTAAAAGCCCTTGCTGGTGAAAAGTTACCCCAACGTTGGGGTCAATTTTCTCGGTAATGAAGATAGACATAAAAAACAGCAAATTGTTGCCCACACTCAAGCTGAGTAGAATGAGCTACGTCCGTGCTTTTTAATCATAGAAATGTAGGGTGTGATACATTTGGCGTGAAGGTATTCAAACAATCAGTTTTTGGCTGTTGCCATGAAAACGGTAGCCAGGATTTGTTTTCAGATTTTACAACCTAACTAGAGTGAAGGTGTGACTTGCCTGCCAAGTTTGAACCAAATCAGCCCAGCCTAAAAAATCACAGAAGAGTTAAAAAGCCATTCCCGGTGAACAGTTACCCTAACTTTGGGGTCAAATTTCTCATCAATGAAAAAAGATATAAAAAATTCAAATAGTAACTTTTGTGCCCGCATTCAAGCTGTCTGATGTGTTTTATACTAAATTTGTAGGAGGAGATACATTTAGCGCGTAGCTATCCAAAAACAGTTTTTATGGCAACAGTGGGCAACATTTTTTTCCCCAGATTTTCCCTAATAACTAGGGTGAAGGGGTGACCTACCTGCTAAGTTTGAGCGAAATCTGCCAAGCCAAACAAATCACAGAAGAATTAATACGTGAAAACACTGGAAATCACACACACACAGAAGTGATTTTAAGGGCAATCCTAGTGCAGCGGATCGCCAATACCATGTTGATTTGCATATTTACCGTGAAAATACCGAAAACATTATTGCATGGGTTATACGCAAATTAGTTTTAGTCAAAATAAGTGACTGCCTAGAAGTACCATTACAGTTGTTCAAGTATATTTATGTACCCAAGGGTAAAATATCGTACTTCTAAATATTGTTTATTTCTGCTATGTTTCGAAAAACGCTACTTTTGAAAGGACTACTTTGTTTGCTCTCAGACAACATTTGCATACGGGGTGTGGAAATACCGATTTTGATTTCAGGGACGTTTTATGATAGCGACTTCACGTTCCCACATTCCAATCCCCGCCGTTGCACTATTTTTTACTTAAAACAGCTATAGATAAAACATTGTAAAGCAGTCAAGGAAAAAATTATGATAAACCAAAACGCATGTACTCATATTTTAGAAAAGCTTTCGACAGAGTCTGGAGGAAAGCATTATTTCTAAAATTACAAAATTTAGGAATTAATGGTCATTTCTATGAAATCATTAAATCCATGTACAATAACATAAACTACAAGGTCAAGATGTCAAATGGTTTAACAGGGGGTTTTCAGTCCACATGTGGTGTGAAACAGGGTTGTAATACCTCACCCACCCTTTTTAACATATTCATCAATGATCTTCCAGGTCATTTGGGTAAAAGTGGTGATACACCAATCATGATTGGTGATAAACCCTTAAACTCTATTTTATATGCAGACGATCTTGTTTTGTTTTCACAGACTTCAGAGGGTTTACAAAATTGTCTGAATAAATTAGCAGACTATTGTAAAACCTGGGATCTTAATGTGAATGTTATTAAGAAAACCAAAGTGATGATATTCAACACAAGTAACAGAGTACTGACAAACCAAACTGTTATTATAGATGGTAAAAACATAACACCAGTCAAGGTTTTTTGTTATTTGGGTATGATATTCACTCCGAATGGAAAATTTAAAACAAACCATTGTATGCTAAAAAATTAAGCAATGAAGACATTATTTGCCATTAGACAAACTATACTTAGTCATAAAATGATTTCAACTTCATTGTGTTTAAAATTATTTGATCAGTTGGTTACAGCCATTCTAATGTATGGGTCAGAAATTTGGGCAGGTCAACTAACAAACGACACAAATAACCTAGAGCAAGTTTGTAATAATTATTATCGTTTTATTCTTGGTGTTAGTAAATTTACACCATCAGTTGGTATAAGAGGGTGAACTAGGTAGATTACCAGTAAGAATAAATGCAATGGTTTCAAAAGTTAAATATTGGTACAGAATAAATTTGCTTCCTGAAAATCACATATTATAATATGCATTAAAGGAAATACAAAATAATTCTATCTGGATTACTCAAATAAAAACAATTTTTGGAGAAAAAAACTTGTCTAAAATAAAAGAAACTAACAAGATCAACAATATTAATCAACAAACCAATGATGTAAAAACAAATGAATTTATTCAATCATGGAAAAAACAATTAAATAAAAAAGAGGGGAACAAACTTAGAACATATAGTATTATTTAAACAAAAATTTGAATTAGAAAACTATCTAAATGAAATGAAAAACTTCAGCCAACGTAGAGTTTTAGCAAAGTTTAGGCTCAGTGACCACAACCTTGAAATTGAATTGGGAAGGAAGAGTAAACAAAAAACCCCAGAAAATGAAAGAACGTGCAAAAAATGCAATTCAGATCAAATTGAAGATGAAATGCATTTCATCTTAGATTGCAATTTCTATGAAGTAGAGAGAAAAGATGTCTTAAAGTATTTTAAAATAAAAATTAATGACTTGTCCAGAATGGAAAGCTTTGTGAAAATAATGGAAAATAATATGGCTTTGTCATATTATTTAAACAATACAATTTTCTAAAAGATAAATATGTAACATATTTTTTTATTATTG